GGGGATACGAGCGTTACGAGCGTAACACCGTGCCTTATGCACGATTCGCGCTCAAGAAAAGGCACGGTTTTTGTGCCGAAGCAAGGGGGAAAAACATGCAAAGGCACAGATTAGGCACACTTTAGGAACATTTTAGGCACAGTTTGGGCACAGTTTTGGCACGGTTTAAGCGCAAATATTCAACGTTGGGCACTTTTTTGAAAATCTTTGTAACCCGACTTGAAAAAAAGAACAAACTTGGTATGAATTACAAAAATAATTCAGGTCAAAGAAGAAGAAGTATAAGAAGTGTAGGTTTTGAGCCGCGGCGAAAGTCGGGAGAACCTTTTCGATTACCATGCAATTTCATGGAGCTTTCTTTCGTGAATCGATGAAATTATATAAACATGTAATTGAGCTGAGCACTTACTGTATTTTAAATAGGCAAACCTGTTTAACATTCCAGTTTGCTGTTTGTCGGGGCTTTCCCTGCTGTCTCTAACCGTATTCTGAGTCATGTTATTTCTTATTAGGGGATAAAAAGGTCGTCAGACCGTGTTTCTAGACTTCGTAAACCTTAAAACTGACATAATTGCCCCGGGGGAGGGACTCCGCATATGTAAGGGGTGGGGATGTTCGTCGTCTCGCTTAGGGGTGTAAATTTCGGATTTTGGTCTCACTTAGGGTGTTCTGGGCAAAACGCCATCATATTTAGCCGTGAAGGGTTCGTTTAGGGTTGCACGTGAAAAAATATAAAATATGTGTATTGTCTGTGTTTTAACATGGTCTCTTTTAGGGGTCAAAAAACCGCTTCGGCCACGCCCAGATCGGTCTCTTTTAGGGATTTAATTCAAAATTTCCGACGAGCATCCCCACCCCTTTCATATGCGGAGTCCCCCCCCGGGATAATTGCCGTGCGCACTTTTCTTTCGCTTTGGAGCTCGATAGGCTGGACACGATTTTCCGAGTGACTCAATATTTTGGCAAAACTTGTGCACAATTACTTTCACAGAATAATGTACTCATCATTTCCAACTACTGGGAATAACTTGATCGACAAAATGACGTCATATTGTCGACTTTATTAGCAGAATATAAATTCTCTCAAGGTACACATTAACCTAAAAAATACTTAAATAGTAAGGTGTTTGACAAAATCAAGAAGTTGGCTAACAAATAAATAACCTTTGAACAATAGCAGTAATTTCATGATGACGTCATTTGGTGCTAAAAAGGAACTAGAAGCACCCGCCATTTTGAATTATTGAAACGTATTCCCTTCTCCTTTAAACGCGAATAAATCGAGGAATTGTTAATAGAAAACTTGATCTGAGTATAAAAGGATGCTTAGGAAGCAAAAAAATCTGCAAAATATGCGATTCTGAGAAAAATGAACACAGCTGAAAATTAGCCTGCCCTTTTTCCCTTCCTCCCTATCCCCTGCCCCCTACCCCTTTCGACGCCTGCTACGCAGGCTAGCTGAAAATTAAACTCAGCATCTTGCCATTTGGTCATATTAACTCATTTTCTCAGAGATTCTCAAACTACTCAAAATACTAGTCTCTAAAAAGCCTGAATAACTTTGATAAAACAATGCTAATTTATGTGTAATATAATAATCTTACTAGTAAAATAGAATTACATATGTAAAAACCTATTTTAAAGAAACCAAATTTGAAATTTTGGAAAACAAGGCCGTCAAAACTCGGTTGCCACGGTAACGTCAATGTCGACGTTAAATTTAGGGGTATTTCGGACTGGTAACGTCACGATGACTGTCCTCAGATAATTTTTAGGGAAAGTCGCCAATTTTGGTGGTCATAGTTAGCTTTAATGGTTTTGAAGTTATTCAACTTTTTAGCGAGGGGGGTGGGGGGGTGGGGTGGGGGGACTTCCCCCCGGCGGCCTGAATAGGGTTAAAGCGAGGCTAAGTGCGAAGCCATTGAATTCTCGTGTCACACATTTCGACAATGAAAGGGTTTGTACTTGGCGTCCTTTTTGAACTCGGGAGAAGGGCCTGTTTTCTAAGGAAACTGGGGACGAACCTTCCAAGACGGAAGAATAGAGAGAGCCCTGGGAACGAGATTGGCTGGGTAAGAGGAAGTGGTCATTTTCCAAAATGGCGTCGTCTCTATCCGACGAGGAGTTCACTCGAATGCAGGTACATTCCGCTAAAAAAGTAGCTTGAACTTTTGGTTTAAAGTGGAAACTTGAATTTTTTCCCCTTTTTGTAACAGACACAGCTGATTGAGCTGCGGACCTTGAATTACGAGTTGGAAGCTAATTGTCAAAGACAGCAGGCAGGTTTGTGTTGATTCCAATATTTCCAAGAAAATATAATGTCAGGTAAAAAGTAAACATTTAGCTGTTTAGCACCCGGCGGTTTCCTTTTTCATGGATATTTACTTTTGGGGAGTTTTCTTAGTTTTGAGTCAATTATCCACCTGCGGATGCTGCTTGCACTAGCTCAACCATCGATCACTGAATATCACAGCTGTTTTATTATTAATGAATCGAGGCTTGATCAATTATTAAAGTGAACGGTTTTAACAGGTGATCCGCCTTTTAAAGTCAGATGATGTATTCAGAGTATTGAACAGCATCGATTTTTTTTGCATTCGAATCGATCACAGTAGTGTGATGAGTGTACAATATGTGAAGTTGTAATAAAATTTTATATTTTGATGTTAAAAAAACAGTCATGCTCTACATGGTAATTTAAGATATTTTACTGTTAAGATTACATTTCTTTTATCAGAATTAGATCAACTACAAGAAAAATATACTAACGTGGAAAAGGAGTTACAGAAATCTACCAAGGTATGGTTTAAGAAAAGTAGAAAACTCTTCAGAAAAGTTGGCTATTTGTAATGGTTTAACTTAATTGATATTATGAAAAAACATTGATGAATGTTTTAATCCCATTTTTGTAGATTATTAACAAGAGCAAAAACAGAAAGGTATGTTTTTGCATAATCTTTTAATTTAACCATCCAGTATGTTTATATACATTACATGAACAAACCACAGCATGCAAGTTTTAACCCTTTAAGCCCCAGTATCCACATACAAATTCTCCAAACTGATCTCCATACATTTCCTTGAAGAATCAGTTGAGAGAATTTAATAACAGATCAAGGTATTTTCGCTTTGGTTATAATTTGTTAATTCTCTTGACTGTATCTCTTGACAATTACTGGATATTTTTAGGAGAAAATTGATTTTGGTCACTATCGGGACATAAAGGGTTAAACTGTGTTACCATGTACACCTACTTAAAATGTCATGTTTGTCTGACTTTTGACATTTACATGACAACCATGGCAAAAGTCGGACAAACATTGCAAATTAGTTATTCAACTGATGTCATTTGTGCGCTGTGCTCTTGAATGGTGTAAATAAAGATTAATTGTAGGCTACAAGAGGGGCCTGCAATCCTATTCTCCAGGTTGTTATTACGTATGTATGTAAATAGACAGCGTTCGCTTGGACTTCCACTAAGAATGAATG